TAATCGCATATTTTACTCTTACTTTTTATACTGCTAAAGCAATTCATATCGTCTATGCCGCCATTGTCCGAACTGGCGGCACCAATTTATTACGCCAATTTATTGCTTTGTCACGACGTTTAATTAAAAGTGCAAATGGTTGGTATCATCAAGACTCATCAGGCCGGTCTAGTTCGTCGCACTTTTGTATGCCGGAATCCATTTTTGCTCGAGAACTTTTTTGTGTGGTTACAGTCGTGGTCAATCTTCTTCATGTAATTAATTAATGAATTTTAAATGCCGGCACGCATGAATCAGATGGAGGACAAAAATTTTCGCGTAATTGGCTTTAATTCGATCATTCTGTAATCGTCTTTTTCTCCGCTCGCGCAATCAGTCGTTTACTGTCCACGCTCTACTTTGCTAAAATCGGAATACGCAAAGCGGAAATTAACGAAAGAGCGATTAATTTGTCCGACCTGAGGGGGTAAAAAACGGAAAACTGCAAAAGAGGAAAACGTAAATAAATTCGCGGCAGAAAAAGGAAAGATCACACACGATCCTTTTTTGTCCGTTAATTTTTTTTCCACCCGAACAATTTATCGCCAATTACGGATCGCTTGCGTTTGCATTTTAACTGATTCAGAGTCGATGGTGTTAACATCCTCGAACGTGAACACAGAACGTTGGCCTCATTCAGACTATTATAATGACTTCTTTGAAAGCTCGTATTCATTTTATATTCGAATGTAATTTTATGCCGATCTATCGAAAGACAGTTATTCTTTCATGGATTACTCTTTTGTAATTCTGTATTTAAAGCAAAGTAAAATTGCGTACAAATTATACAAACACACACAAGCTGGCGATATACGAGTACAAATATTATTTTATCAAACCGCGTAATCTTTAAATCTTAAAAATTTTTTGTATAAAGTAATCACACCTTTTTTCAAAATCTGCGAGAAGCGGTAAAAAATGCAAATAGTGAGAAAACAAATATTTGTTGTGGAATTTCTTAGTGGAGACGACTTATTAGCCGTTAACTTTTCAACTTTCCTCGTCTTGTCGCGCTGCTTTTTTTCTTAGCGAAGTTTTCCCGCAGTGAGGAACCGCACGAATCCTAAGGGAATTCTCTGCCTTTGCTGTCGGCGATAACCATGTTAATGCAATTTCTTGATGGTTTACGGAAACGGTCCATATCCTCTCACTTCTAGCGTGCCAAGTCGGCAGTCTTGCGTGTTCGTGCCTCCCTTATCGTGCCGTTTTTTTGCCACTTTTTGCCACGCTTTTCCTTTCGTCCATTTCTACCGCGATTCTTTTTCTTTGTTCCGCTGCGTATTACATTTCAGACAATTTCGCCTCTCGTTCATCAACCTTTTTGATATAACAAATCAATGATATTTACCGATTTTTATGGCGTAAATAAAAAACTATATTTAAATACATCTTATGATTAGAGCTCTAGAGTAGTACAATATCGAAGTCGCTTATGTCTTGATCAAAATAGATTAGTTTCGATAAATAAATGCGTAACAATTTATACTTATTTTCACCACCTTACATTGCATTGATTTTCATGCTAAACGAGCCGTTGATTCATTTTCCCTTGCTATTTCCAGGCATGTTCAGGTTTCGAATGCACAACGTCTTGTTTCATTGTGCACTAGATCTCTTTAACTTGACCAAACTTCGCCAATAGAAACTTACATTAACCGAGTCTGACCTAAGACTCATGCTAGATCGGGACTTAAACTAGCAATTCAAGTTGCGTTGTTGATGAAACTAGGAGTTTAGTACAAGTATAGTATTATGCTTCAAGGCTCTCTTGTGCGACAATTGTCAAAGAGTTTAAAAGAAATATTTGATGTATTCATTTTACATTTTTATATTATCACAGAAATGCATCGGAGCGGAATAACCAATACTCCAATTATATGTCAATTAGGACGCGCGTTGACACAATTCGTTTTTAGGTTACTTCAACATCGCCAGATTTTTCGCCGTAAATGCTGCGATTTGCATTCTTTAGTCGCTCTTGTTATGTGACTTTAATTGGACGAAATTGTTCGCTCGGAGATAACTAACGTGAATGTAACGAACGCTAGCTATCGTCGCTGGTTACGGATTTTGATGCATCCATCGAAAGCGTGTTTGAATTGCAGAAATCGTTAACGAGATGGCCCAATGCTTTCCGATTTTTACTATGCTTAAACGAAGTAAATTGATGACAATGTTTGTTATATATATAAATGTGTATGTATAAACATCTAATTGTAATACCTTGTAATTAGATTCCTATTTGTTTATCTACTTACATTTGTTGTTGGCAGATTTAATAGATAATGTGTTATACAAGAGATTAATATTTAGATATATATGTATATCATGTGAAATTCTTAATAAAGAAATAAGAAACTTGATTGTAATATCAGGGAAACAAAGTTTTGAATTTATAAGAAATATTATAATATTTGCAGTGTATTAAAATTATATATTAAATTTGTAGTATTGAAAGTAAATTAAAATTATATTATCAATATTATATAAGTAAAATCTTTCATTCTATATATAATATTTTATTCTATAATATTTCATTCTATAAATGTATGTTATGGCAATGACAAAAATATTTCCGATATTGTCTAACAAATGAGATGCAAATATATTTCTAACAATACATTAATTTCTATAAATTGCACAAGTAACGGCAGTTTTATGAAATGACGAGACACTTTTGGAAAGCAAAGCTTTTAGATTCTACTAAAAGTAATTTGATGCCTCGTAGTCGAGTGGATTAAGTATCGGAATGGCGATCTGCAGCTTTTCCCTGTTCCTCTTTGTCTTCTTCTTCTTCTTCTTCTTCTTTCCGGAACACGATTCAACGAACTCTAAGAGTAATAGATAGTTTCAGTTCGGTATAAACTTTCATCGGATAAGATGTCCAGGGCTTTACGATAAGACCTGCTTCAAGGTATTCGCGCGCGGTTGTCCCTAATACTCTTCGAGAGGTATTAATTCTTCAATTATTGAAATAGATGTAGTACTCGAGAGGTGTAGTAAACTATTCAGTATATATCAATGCAAATTATATATTATACCACAAGAGTATAATTCTAGTGAAAGTTCTGAGATATTCTATTACTACTATTAGCACAATAGAAACAACAGAGAACATCCACAATGGAGATTCATTGTGTTACACACATTGTTATATTAACTTAATTAGGAAATGTTCAAATATTACTAAAATAAATAAATCTATTAATTTTTAATTATTTATTATATAAAAACTTTTTAATACAATTTTGTCTCATATTTTAACTTTAAATTTTTTAATTAAGATAGTAATATGTATATAAACCGAATTTTTACATAAAAAGGCACAAGGGATTTTTAATTAACTTTATAAATTTTGTGGTACTATTTTATTAATCTTACTTGCATAGCATTTTACTTGAAATAGTTTAAAATATTTTATTCTCTTTGTGCGTTTACAATAGTGCTTACATATAACATAAAGCAAAAAATGTGACAATAATTCAAATAAGCGAGGCGATAAGATATCAAATGTCGGAGTAAGTAGTTTGAATCAAGGTTTCTGCGAGCCATGTGTCACGCGACGTTAAGTAGTGGAACCGCACGTGCGGCACGTGCAATACGTCAGACACGTGCGGCGCATAGTCGTAGCCGAGTTTTAATTTCGCAACGGACCGAGTGGACCGAATGGCTTACCTGCATCGTTACGTTTCCGTGCGTGTTTGATTAACGTCAATTTCACGGCGATCGCAATTACGTTTTCGTCTTCCTTACCACCCACTGCAGCGCCGGTTTCCGTCATACACGGACGATATACATCGGTTTCGCGGAGAGGCGGAATTACGGGCAACCTAATTTACGGATGGAAACGCTCATAAGCCGGTTCCTGCAATTTGCCAATCCCTTTGGAGTGGCTAATCTGCTCACGCGCGTCTACTTTCCTGACTTCTCTCTCGTCCTTTTTCCTTTTCTTTCTTCCGTTCGTAAGATGTTATTCGGCTTTCAGCAAAGTTTCTTAAATTACTCGCCGCATCTCTTTAGAAAATTATAGCGAGCCTCTTGAAAAATATTATAAAAATTTGTGCAATTACATTAAAATATAAATTGTACGAAAATAACATCTTGTGATATTTAAAAAAGCGATAAAATATTATATTTTTATTGTATTTTTAGCTGGTGACATTTTAAATAATAAGCGTTAAAAAGAAACTGATGTATTCTCAGTTTGGGAAGTTCTGCTTATACAAACTGATTAAAGGTCTATTTTAACATACTATATATCGAATAAGTCTTTATATATTCTCGCTCGAAGAGAGAGAAATGCTTTCAAATGTCAAACACTTTGATCCAACTCGTGATTAGTTCGATTAGAATCCTCGTGGAATTGACATGGACAGTCGTAAAGGTTAATATGTTTCTGTGAAACGCGAAAGTAGGATGTAGAAATATTTTTGTAGAGATAAAGTTGATTCATTGATGTAGCAGGCTGATAATTATTTTTATGCCAAGCCGTCATGATGCGAATGCTCAGAGTGCTCCGTGTAAACGCGCGCGTACTCGCGTAAAGTGAATGAGTCAATGTTAACTCGCTTTGAAGGTATGAAAGTTTGAAAGCATCTTTTGGATTGAGGCTTAATCTTAAAAGCACACAAATCTGAAATTATTCCAGTTTACTTTACTATCTGATTATGAGTGTTTATATGGCAATCAAAATATATACAATATTAAATCTTTAATGAAAGCGTTGCAGCAGATATTTGTCTACGATAAATCAATGAAATGACGATTACAAGAAAAGATGACACATAACGATGATAATGTAGATAGATAAAATAAACTTACCTCATGAATTTGAATTTATCTTATTCTTTGATGGAAGAAGGCTTTTGCTGTGTAAATGTAAAAAAAAAACGTAATAAAAAATTAAACTGGGTAAAATATGCAGTGATGATGAGTCAATAAAATAAGAAATCTCCTATATATACAGTTCGTATTATAATTTATTACAATTTGTACAGATTACAAATCGGTATCTATCTTGATGCATTTTCTGTTAGACATCATAAAAGGAGCGAATATTGAGCAGAACGCCGCTCGTTACTGCGCTAACGTTATTATATATTTATATATATTAGTTATCATAGTTACCCCTGTGTATAATCTATATTTGACACTTTATGAACACTCCGATCACTAATAAATATCGTATTTATGCTTCGTCGGAGAATTCAAATCAAAACGTGAACGGAAGTCGAACCTCCATCGTTTTTCTTCCTTCTGTCGAAACATCTGTCATTCTTTAATCACACAAATGAAGCTATTTCATATTCACTTCGTTGCTTTAGGATAGCCGTTATCTCTGTCTATGTCTCAATACGCGGACATTGCTTTTATTCGTCATATTTCCCCCTTTCGTTATCAGAGCGACAATTTACATCGAAAGACAACACGTTCAAAAGTAACGGTATACGAGTTAGGATAGTCTTGCGATTGTTTCGCTAGCGTTACTCCAATCTTCTTCGCGTTTAGGCTCCTCGAGAGAATAAAAATCATTGTTATTCCACTATCTATTCTATACATAGTAACATACATAACTGGAAGCCCTAGACTACTAGGTTTTACATGGACGATGTAATCGGATCAGACAGTGGCAGTGATATCTTCATGAAGGGTGCCCGCGAGCTACCTGCTAACCGTCCACTCGTTCCTCAGCAGTACATTCGTTATCGGGACAACCATCATCGTCAGCGATGTCATCATCAGGAACAGGGTGGCCGTCGCGACGGCCATTATTATCGCCGTGCCACGATTACCATTCCAGGGCCAATTCTGTCCGGCGCATCCGTTCGCTCCTGCTCAACAGAAAGTAGTCGCATGTTAACGAACCGCGAAAGGGTAATGAAATTTTATGGAACGTGTCGGCATAGATCACGACGTAGTTACTCGAGACTGTGCGCGCACCATTCTCGAATAATAGACACGATGTCCCGAAAGGATACGCGACAAGTTTAATTATACCCGCCGATGGCACTGAATCGGTAAAAGTCGCCGTAGACTGCAAAGTCTTGTTCGCTAGAACATGGAAAATGTAAATTTGAGAACGAGCCTAAGAGAGAGAAAGTTTTGCCGAACTTAAGCATCTTTTGAGAAGTTTCCTTCGCAATTACGACCCTATGTACTGCCAACGGCTAAGTAATTTGATTCGACGTGAAACGGGCAGACAGTAATTCGAGTTGTAGATTTTGTTTGTGCGCATTGTAGAAATATAGTTATAAATGTAAGAATAAAAAAAATTTAACTTTAATATTCATTTTTTCGTGTCATATTTAAGTAAATCGTTAAATTTGATTTCTTCTTCTTTTTTTGACATTTTAATATATGCGATATATTGTACTATATTATTGTATATATTATATTCGAGTATAAATAAATTTTAAACTATTTATATTGTTTGAATTAAATTTATTGATTATAAAAGTGTTGACTTACTGCAATATATTATTAACTATGTTATTCTTCAAATTCTGATGAATATGAACGATGAGTGTTTATTCCGCCCTCCATGAGATTGTTGTAGGATGCTCTCGTCAAACTATGAGAACTAGGAGAGATAAGATTTCTTATAAAAATTACAAGACTCGTAAGAACTCGTAATTTCACGACTAACTTGACTAGATAATATATTATACGTTTCGTTGTAAGCATGTTTAAAACGTTAACGTATTTGAACGGGGAGTTGAAGCAGGGCGAAATTGAATGAGAGTCGAAATTGGTTCTCGTATTCAGCTTACGATTGCAAAATTTAGACCGTGATTCCGCTCTATACAAACTGGAGAACGTATTTAATTTCGCTAACCAATCCATGGAATGGCATTCGTTAATATCGAAAACCGATTTATTCTGGCTTTTCGATGGCACTGGTGATATTAAGCGATCGATGCTGCAGTTCCGAAACATTGGTGTGTGTGTGTTTTTTTTTCCGTAAGATCCAGCGAGTGTCCTTTGAAAAAGGTTGCCGTTATTAACCGCAACGAACGCGGATGGCTCTTTTAGAAAGTCTCGCGTCGGCGGATGTCGGCGGCATGAAATAAAACTTGGGTAAAACGAGGCAGGGTAAAAGAAGGAACGCGGCGAAGAATCGCATTAAAGGCGACGTCGCGGCTCCGCGATTAAATTTTCAAGAAAGAGGAAGAGTAGCGGGCAGCACGCTGCAGAAAGGAGGCAAGCAAACCAGGAGGGAAAAAGCAAATTACCGGAAGGGCCGTGCCGGTCGCCCGTCGGGATAACGTTGGCGGGAAAGATGCAAAGAACCTCTGCAAAAAGTGCACGATAGTAATTTCCCTAGAACGAGGAAATAATTTGAACGGTTGCGCTTGTGAAGTCTGAAACGAACGCGAACTGTAGTTATATAGCCGTTGTAATTTCGCCCTACCTCTTTCCACGGATCATAATTCAGCTATACTGCTACCTATCTACAATTTTTCAACGAGATTACCAAGTTTCCGATGCTACGCTTTAATCGTCTTTACGTAACACTTAAAGTCAAACAGACTTTGCTAATCAATTTGCAGATAATCGAAGCGGCGAAAGGATTATAATGGAAACGAAAAAGATTTTTTACAGAATTTAAGTTATAGCGACGGAGGACTTGGAAGATAATCTCACAATTTAAAGATCTCACCTTTGACCCGCTACGGATTCAATTAAATAAAAATAAATGCGCTATATAAACACTGCATATGCAATGCTTGTCATCCCTATTTACACGCGCAGAAATATCGCGTAAAACGTGTTGGATGGACAGGTTTATCATATATAATTAATGTTGTTTATTTCGAATATCTTTAAACTTTAAGCTTTTTACTTTCAACCCGGAGGGGTTTCAATGGTATAATATGATGAAAGACGTGCCATTTTATTTCATTATAACATGAATTATGATGTCTTATTAACAATTATATATATATATATATATATATATATATATACATGGATTACTGTAATCTTACAAGAAGAATGAAAAAGAAATCGAAGATATCTTTAAATATAAAAATGATTTATTACAATCATTGAAAAAATCTCGCTGTCAAAGTATCATTGATATATATTTCCATCAGATCCTGTCAATCAATACTTATTTTAAAATCTGAATCTGTTTCATTAATAATTGCCCATTATGTTGTGGCTGTAGAACATCCAATCAAATCAACGATTGTTTTTTCCGCGCGTGCCTTCGTTATTGTGGAGGAATAATAGTCATTAATTGCTGTTGGACATTCGTCTTCGTCCGCTGGCGTGATAAATCTACCGACGTTCAACTGCGTATTTCTATACTCATGGCTCATCGGATTAATAAACTCGTTGGGGACAGTGCTACTTCTAGTTATGAGAAGAGAAAAAGTGGCACTTGTGAGATTAATACGTCTACTTGAATAACAGGAAGTCGGTTTAGCTGTATATATTTCATTATGTCAGAAGCGCAAAAATATTCCGGGAAATCCGGCTGTCGCGAAAGCACACACGTACTTCAACTATGTGTGGAGAGAGAAAGATTTAAAATAAAATGAAAACTCTCTTTGCAACATTAGCGCGTTTTTGACACGCGCCCTTATAGTCGATTCTACATTTTCTTTAAAAATGCCGTAGATGGTTTATTTAAATTTCTATCGCTTTAATACGAAAACCTCTGTTATTGCATCGTTTTATCTCGTACATTATATTTTCGATTACACCTTCGACTATTACATCCCTGAGCACATATCCCTTTTATAACTTCCAACGACGAGATTCATGTCGGCAACAGTCTGGAGGTCTGCCAGAATTGGTCACAACATGCTATTTATTATATTTCGTTGAACAAGAGAACAACTCTCATAAGATCCCACTTGATCTCAACCTTTTTCATACTACTGCAAGCGACATTGCAATCTGCACTATCGCTTCTTAATCCGATTAGATGTCGTTTTGTATCTTTGCTATTATTCGTTTTGTAACGAGACACGTATTAGTGGACATTTTTTAAACATTATATCTTTCTTTCTCCATTAATTTAATAGCTATAGATTTATGAGAATTAAAATAGGATAATATTAATTAAAGATATTTATTGCAAAATAATTGTAGAATATTTTATTTTATCAAATAAAAAATAAAATTTTCAGCGCTTTAATTTAATATTTTTATATATATTGCAATTTGTGATATAAATCTATTTAAATTCATAAATCCATTTTTAGTTCATCAAGATAG